CACACACATACAACAACATAGACACGCATACAACACAAATATGTCTCTGGGCTTTTATGCAGTAGTTCCTCTGTTTTCCATCTGGCCACATTCCTCACCTCTCTAAGCTCATGCTGGTGATGTTTCTCTGACATATAAACCTTATTCTTCAGTTTGATCCCAGAATATAGCTCCTGGGTGGATTAATTAATAGAACAAGTATGTCAAAGTGGGAAACAGTTCCCTGTATCTTCACTATTGCTTCTTGGTCCTGAGAGGCAAGTGTTGGGAGATGGCAGAATGAGAGAAGTTGGCTTCATTAGGAAATTGGACATGACTTGGGCCCTACCTTAGGATCTCATGGCTATCTAGTGTGAGTTCCCTTTTCTCCCCAATTCTTTACACTAAGTCATTTCAGCGTCTTTCCTCATTCACTCTTCACAGTATCAGAAGAAGTGGCTATTCTTGCAAAGTTCAACCTTTCTATTTATGACCTTCATCCCACTCCCTCTGATCTTCTGGGGCTTTCTCCATTAATCTTCCCCTGCCCTAACTTTGGATCTTTCTTCATCCAGTAGCTCTTTCCTGGATACCTAGAAACATTCAATCAGATCTCTTCCAACCTTTAAAAATAAATAAAGTAAATCTTCACTTGATCCTGCCACCTCCTCAAGCTGTTGTCCCATACCTTTCTTCTCTTTCGTAGTCAAACTCCTAGAAAAATCCCTCTATGTTCATGTCCTCCGTTGTCTTACCTCCCACTCACTTCCCAGCCCCTTTCAATCTAGCTCTCAAGGTTACCATTCAACTGAAACTGCTGTTTGCAAGATTACCAGCGATCTCTTAGTTGCTAAATCCAATGTCCTTTTCTCAGTCCTTATCTTTCTTGATCTCTCTGCAATATTTGACACTGTTGACTACCACCTCCTTCTAACCACTCTTTCTTCCTTGAACTTTTATGACACTGAATGAATGAATGCTAAAGCATTTATTAAATGCTTACTATGTATCAGGCAGTGTGCTAATTGCTGAGGGTACAATTATAAGCAGGCAAGTTTCTCCCTGCCTCAAGGACCTTACATTCTAATGGAGAAGATAACACATAAATGGAAGCTGGGGGAGCACACAGCCTCCTGGTTTGGAAATAGCCAGAAGTAACATGGAAACGCCATTCTAGATAAGGTAGGGCAGAAGTTCTTTCATATTACAGGGTCCCAGGGTTAGAGTCCAGGTTCCAGCAGGAGGGAGATGAAGGGAAGGGCTGAAGTACAGGTGGCTTGTTCTCTCCTGCTTCCCCTTCTACCTGTCTGACTACTCTTCAGTTTCTTTTGTTGTATCATTATCCCTCTTCTGCTGCCCACTGCGTGTGGGTTTACCTTCATGCTCTGTCTCAGTGATCTCATCAACTACTCTGGATTCAGTGAGCATCTCTATGCAGACAGCTCCAAAATCTACACATACAGCCCACATCTTCTCCTGAGCTCCAGTCTCACATCACCAGCTGTCTACTGGACATTTCCAACTTGGCATCCCGAACTTGGTGTCTCAAACTCAACGTATTCAAAATAGAACCCATTCTCTTTCCCCTTAAAACATTCCCTATTCAAAATGATCCTCTTTCTCTCAAGAGCGCTATGATTCTACAATCCCCCAGCTTAACCACCTCAGTTAGCCCTGACTTCCTCACTCTCCTTCATCCTCCTCATAGCTGACAAGTATTGTATATTCTGCCTCCACATAGTCCTCCTTTTTTCTGCTCACATCACTTGTCACCTGGACTATTGTGGTGGCCTCCTAATTGGTGTCAGCATCTCCTGTCTCTCTCCTTCCCAGCCTATCCTCTAGAGCATGGGTGGGAAACCTGCAGCCTCAAGGCCACATGTGGCCCCACAGGTCCTTGAGTGTGGCCTTTGGCTGAAAACAGATTCCGTTTTTACATGTGGCCTCGAGGCCGCAGTTTCCCCACCCCTGCTCTAGAAAATTGTGAAAGAGATCTTTTTAAAGCACAAGTCTGACTATATCATTTCCTTCTTGCTCAAGAAGTTTCAGATGTTCCCTGTTGTCTCTAGTATAAAATATAAACTCCTCCATTTGACATTTTAAGCCCTGCATAATCTGTCCCCAGCCTGTCTTTCCAGACTGATTTCATATTATTCCCTTCTATGAACTCTACCTCCCAGCCAAACTGGACTGCTTCTTATTCCCTGTGCCTGCCATTCCACTTCCCCTAGCCATACTTTGTTTGAACTGTCTCTTCCCTACTCTGACCCCATCCCATTCCTGTGCCTGAAATGTTCTCCCTTTTCTCTTCTGCCTCTCCTAGTCCCTAACTTCCTCCCAGGCTCAGCTCAAGCTTTACTACGTCCACCACCAGGTGTTTCTGAGACACACCCTCAGATGTTGAGTGGTTTTCTCCAACTAAATTAATTTATATTTTCTTCCTAAATATTCTATATTAATTTATCTGCTTATGTGCTATCTCTGTATGTAAGTTCTCTGAGAACCAGGACTGTTTCCTTTTCCATCTTTGCATCCTCATCACCTGGCACAGTAACTTTCATGTAATAAAAGCTAACTGTTTGTTGAATCGAATTGTCACGACACTGGATTCAGGCTCAGGAAAGAAAGTATCAGCACCAGGCTGTATTTACTGGAAGCGGTGTTGCTTGCTTGCCAAGGAACTTGGTTTACTTGGTCCTTGCATGGCAACATTTCTGTCTGACGAGTGCTACAGGTGTTAAGAGGTGAGAGAGGTCACAGGTCTGGGCCTAGTTCAGAACGACTTCATGGAGGGGCTATTACTGGAGCTGGACCTTGAAGGACAAGGAAAGTTTCTGTAAGCAGAGAGGAAAGAGATAATCTCTTGGCTAGAAAGGGATGAGTTCTATCCTGTGCTGATCAGAAAACCAAGGAGTCCTCCCTCTGTGCCCCCTAGATATTTTACCTAAAAACAAGTTTAAAGGCTGGAAGGGAACTTAGAGATCATCTACTTCAATTTCCTCATTTTACAAATGAGAAAACCAAGGCCCAGGGAAAGGAAGATTTTGTCCTAAAGCCAACAGAGCTAGAATTCAAACCCAGGTCCTCTGATCCCAAATCCAATGTTCTCTGTCCTGCACTGAAGTCTATACCTCCCTCAAGATTGGGGGATAAAATGTTTTCTCAGCAGCATTTCAGAGCCATCCTAGATGTTGGAGAAATCAGTGGTGTCCTGAGACAGATAGTTCTTCTTAGGGAACCTTCGCTCATCACAGAAGCCCACAGTGACCTCCCCTTCTCTATTCAAACCCCATTTTTTATCTGTCTCCCTCATTCTGGCACTCCCCATGCCTCACACTCGAAGTCACTCTCCCAGCCCTAACTACCTCAGTTGCTACACACTGATTGGCTGCCAGTCAGTGAGCCACAAGAACAACTCAATGTCAGATCAAGGAAATTTTAAATCCCCCATCCGTCTCCATCATCTCAAGGAGCATCTTCCATAAGAGCTCCAGAGTGAAAGGATTCATCTGCTTCACCAGCTGTGAGCATGAGGGTCCAAAGTTAGTCTTGGCTGCACTTGCGAATCAGTGGATAAAGGCAGCTTCAGGGAAGGTGCTGGGCCTGATGGAGAATGGCAGGCGGTGGGGCCTATGCTCATTTGGGCCTATGCAGATTTCAGGCACTTGGGCAAACACATCGCTTATTCTCCTGGGAGACTTCTTGGCTCAGAGATCCTAACCAATGCATTGCCAAGCAAGTTGGCAGCTTCCGTAAGCCAGACCCTTCCCCTGTAAATAATAATAACAACATTCTTACTTTGTTTACAAAACACTAGACAGTTTACTAAGTGGCTTTTACAATCATTATTGAGAAACAGCATGGTGGACTTGAACAGTCCCTTGACTTGAAGGTAGAGGACTTGGATTCAGATTTCCATTCTACTGGGTTTTTTTACCCAATTCAATTTCCCTCTCTCAATCTAAATTTCTCCCTCTATAAAAAGAAGGATTAGACACATCTTTTCCAGCTCTAAGGCCAATAAGCCATATGATCCTTGCCCTTCCAGGTCCAAATCTAATAATCTCATTTGATCTTCACAACAGGTGGACAGGGAAGGCCACACAACTGAAATCACAAACTGACCCAGAGCCCTAAGATGCATCCCAACTCATAAAAAAGGTTCTGTGGCAGTCATAATTCAGAATTCTTATGCCAGGTGCAAATTCAGTCTGGGAGGTATGGTGCAGAGGATGGTCTGACTGGGGTGTAGTCAACCTGGAAGAGGAAATAGCCAGTCTCTCTAAGAGTCCTGTGCTTACATCTTGAAGAAGGGTAGAGGAAACGAGGAAGGTGTGCCATGACAATGGGAGTCTGGGGGTAGTAGTCTGGTGATGCTTGTGCCTTTTGGTAGCTGGAGCTAGCAAAAGATAGTGAGACAAGGTGCAGGAATGGCATTTGCTGCAGGGGAAGAAGTATGGTTCCCCTGAATCCTGGTGCCCTGGATCATGGTCTTAGTCACCCTATGATAGTTACAATCCTTAGGCAGATATTCTTCTTCCAACTATAAGGCTAAGTGAGAGGAAATAATTTTCCCTGGACTGCCCAATGGGTCCATGATAAAGCTAGGACCAGAATCCAAGTCTCCTGACTCTCAGGCAGTGCTGTTTCTCCCAGACCCCACTGCCTCCGTGATGTTGCACATGGACTAGCAATTGTACTCAGGTCCCAGGGGTTCCATGAGAATTAGCCACAGGGAATCCTCAATCCTTCTCAGCTGGGCTGGACTCCAGTTCCCCTGATGGCCCAGCTGGCAGAGCCTTGGTGTGCTCAGGAAAGCTCAGTATTTGAATCTAATAAACCCTTCACATTCTAAAGCCGAAGAGGAAGGTTTGGGTATCATTTGCCATTTGGGATTATCTGTGGTGCTGCCTTTTCCCTAACTGGAACATGGATCCCTAAGCTTGGTTTTGGGGGAACCATGAGAATATGGGGATCCTGAATTCCTGCCCTATCTTTCTTCCTCCCTTCCCCCCGTACAGGTAACATCATTGGCTCTGGGATATTCATCTCCCCCAAAGGTGTGCTGGAGCATACAGGTTCAGTAGGCCTCGCCCTTGTGGTCTGGGTACTAGGTGGAGGAATCGCAGCCCTCGGCTCCCTCTGTTACGCCGAGCTCGGAGTGGCCATCCCTAAATCTGGAGGAGACTACTCCTATGTGACCGAAATCTTCGGAGGCCTTGCAGGGTGAGTACTAGGGAGTGAATTCTGGGACAGGTACTGGTTGTATGTCATATAGCCCAAAGCATGGTTGTACATATCCAAACCTATGCATGCACATGTTTGCTTACAAGCCCCAGAACCTAACAGACAAACAACAGCCATTCACTTGTGCTCACTATGTCTCATCTGCCTCTTTTGTAAATAAGGGAGCTTTTCTGTGTCCAAGGTGGGAGGGTGAGCTTTCTTCTCTCTTGTGTAGAGGAAGGGGGTAAGCAGAAATACTTCACTTGAAGCAAATCCAGTATATACAAATCTGGATGAATTAGAACAAGTGTCTGATTCTCATTTCAAAAGGATTCTTCCCTTTACACAGGCACTCAGGGAAGGCTGATAACTGTTAAAGGCAAAGCACCCAATATGTTCTCAATAGTTTCAAAATTTTATGCTGTCTTACTTTAACTGGACAATTCAGGATCTAATAATAGCCCATGAAGGTAACAGATTTGTACCCAAACAAACTATTACCTTTGTATGTAAATGATAACCTTGTTTTACCATTATCATTGCTTTTTTAATATGTAATATGAGGGTGGGGTGGGGAGGGACAGGGCTTGGGGACTGTTAAGGGAAATCCCCAGGTAAGTAAACTTCCTTGATCAATGTAGGTCTGAGCCTTCTTTTCAATTGATAGCCTTAGAGAGTTACCTAAAGCACTGAGAAACAAAATTACTTGCCTAGGGTCAGAGTCCAGACTTGAACCCAGGTCATCCTAGCTTTGAGTCCAGCTGTTTCCTTTTTCTTTTTAATGTATTTTTATTTATTTCATTAAATATTTCCAAATTACATGTAAAAAATTTTTAACATTCAGTTTTTAGAATTTTGAGTTCCAAATTCTCTCTCACCCTTCCCCTAGCCCTTGAGAAGGCAAGCAATATATTGATTATACATGTGAAGTCATGCAAAACATATTTTCATATTAGCCATACTACAAAAGAAAACACACAAGAAAATCAAAAAAAAGAAAAAAAAGTATGCTTTAACCTGAAGTCAGAGCTCATCAGGTCTCTCTCTGGAAGTGGATAGCCTTTTTCATCATGGGGTCCTTTGGAACTGTCTTGGATCATTGTCTTAATCAGAGTAGCTAAGTCTTTTACAATGCATCATCCTTACAATATTCCAGCTCTTTTCCTTTTCCACTATGTTACAGTGTAAAGAGCATGTGCAAATACTGAATGGTCTATCTTGCCTTCTTTGGAATGATCTCAATACCTGAATAAAGGCTAACTGTTGTGCCCACACTACCCTCATTAGCTACCACTAATTATGTGGAGGCAGCTACCAGAACTGAAGCATAGTACTGGGATAGAATGAATAAGTCTCCTCCCTAGGATGGGATTAACTTGCTGTGTGACTCAGGGTCCTCTGGAACTCTCAGTCTCTTCATCTGTGAAATAAGGGGTGTGGTTTCATAGTCTCTAAGACCTAAACAGTTAATGCTTTAAGGATTCACTGTGAAACCTCAACCCTTTTTGAATCGATGACACCATCATAAGACCTTGCATTTTCCAAAGCTCTTTTAAAGTTATTTCTTCACTCACCATAACTAAAAAGTTACCAACCTATGCATATTCTTTGACCCAGCTATACCACTACTAAACCTATATCCCAAAGAGATTGGAGAAGATTATTTATATGTACAAAAATATTTATAGTTGCTCTTTTCATGGGAAGCAAAAATTAGAAACTAAGGAGATGTCTTCCTTTTGGGAAATGGCCAAACAAATTATGGTATATGAATGTAATGAAATGTCATTGTGCCATGAGAAATTGTGAGGTAGACCCCAGAGGAAACTAGGAAGAACTATGAACTGATTCAGAGCAAAATGGGCAAAACTAGGAGAACAATCTATACAATGCTAACAATGCTATAGAGAAAAACAACTTTGAAAGATTTTAGAACTCTAATCAACACAGTGATAAACCAAAAGTCCACGGAGAATGAAGATGAAACATGCCACTCACCTCCTGACAGACAGGTGGTGAACTTAAAATGCAGAAAGAGACATACTAATACAGGAATTAGTTTTGCTGAACTGTGTAAAGATGTATCAAGGGATTTGGTTTGGAGTTGTTTACTTGTTTTTTAATTTGCTCCAAGTGGTAGTGATAGAATAATTAAAAAAATACTCGGTACTTGAAAAATAAAAAAAAAGCTAAAAAAGTCTCTTTAAAATAGCATATCTTAATTAATCATAAACAAAATCACTGATTAACCTAAGCCAAGGCTTTCCTCCTCATCTCAAGAAAAAAGAAAGGCTTTGATGTTCCATTTAGCATTGCCAGTACATTAGAAATACTTCTTAGAAAAGTATAAAATTAATTTCTTAAAATCCTCTGAATCTCCCACAGCAATTCAGCCCACCCAGTAAATTCACTAAGAAGAGAGATTTGACAAATGAGTTACAGAAGCTTTGTAGCAGAATTGGCAACAAGGCTTGGGGAGGGGGGGAGGCCACAAAATCACGCAATCATATCATCAAATAATCACAATGTACAGCAGAAAATAGAAAGCTTTTCCATGATAGTTCTATATGGTAAATCCACAAAATGAAATCCAAGGTGGTAGAACCCATTCAGTCACAAAATTCTTTGTTATAATAAATAATTGTTAATTTATTTTTAGATATATTTCTACTCTATAAAGAAAAAAACTACTGATCAGCATTATCTCATTTTTGAGAAGACAAACAGACTATAAGAGCCTGGGGACAGAGGGTTATCACCTCATTCAAAATCCTCCTAGCCCTAGGGAGGCTGCAGTGTATTCTACAGATATGGAAAGTGAAACACAGAGAGGTTAAGCAACTTTTCCAGGGTCCTAAAGTTAGAGGTAGACATAGATATAACTCCTAGTTTGCCTAATTCTTTTCACTACACTGGAGGCCCTTTATATTGCTCTTCCCCAGTGGGAAGAAAGTGACTGTAAGAGATCTGGGCCAGGTCTTGAGTCAAAGGCAATGAATGAAAATGGGAGCTCAACCAGCCTTATCAAATAGCCTGGACCAGGGCCTGATCAAAGACAGCCAGAGGACTGGATTTGGAGTTGGAAACCTGTCTCAGACTAGTAAATGGTTGGCTGCACAGCCCTAGGTAAGTCATCTAACTATTCACGTCAGGTTCTAATACCCTCATTTTTGTAAAATGAAAGGATTGGGCTGATGACCTTGAACGTGTATGATGCTGTGGTCTCTCTAGGCTCTGGGTTCTGGGCTCCAGGGTCAAGGCTGGCCTGTGGGCTTTAGACTCTTGGTTTGGCCCTGGCCCCTAGATCTGGAGCTTTTGCTCTCCAAGGAGATGACCCTCAACTCTCTCTTTCCTCTAATTCCAGCTTCCTACTGCTTTGGAGCGCAGTGCTCATCATGTACCCCACCAGCCTGGCCGTCATCTCATTGACCTTTTCTAACTATGTCCTCCAGTCTGTGTTCCCCAACTGCATCCCACCCTACACAGCATCCAGAGTGCTCTCCATGGCCTGCCTATGTAGGTACCACCCATCTTAGGCCTTCTTTCCCTCCTCCTCGTCCCTCATAGTGCCTGGGGAACCCACTTCATGGGTTGTTGGGAAAGGCTTCAGGGATCTCTTGCCATACACACACACACACACACACACACACACACACACACACACACACACACACACACGTACATGCATATGCACACTCACACACATGTATGTACTCCTCCAATAAGGTGGGCCTGGTGCCCAGTTCCTTCCCCTTTCCCTTTCCTTTTGCATAGGTCAAATTCTCTATATTCTTTTTCAACTTTGTGCCTCAAGTCAGAGGAAAATATTAATATTGAGAAAGACACCTGGCATTCACTCTGAAATGGAAATGATTCTCCAAATTTCTACCTTGTAAGTCCCTATCTGACCCAGTTCCTCCTACCCACTCCTCTATCCCATGCCCAGAGAAGTGGGTTGGGTATCAGAGTCTTCCTAATCCAGGGAGGAAGACCCAGGACTACCATCTCTGAGACTAAAAGAAGGATGGTTCTGGGTTAGGTGGGATGACAAGGATCCAACTGAGCTCCAGCCATAGTCCTATGCCTTTTCCATAAGGAGAACTGTGTCCAAGAAATGTTCCCAGATGGTGGAACTCCCTATGTATGTCATTTTATCCCCGTCTTTTCCCTCCTTGTTTCCCAATCTACAGAAAGTCTCCTAGGGCTGAGTCTGCCTCTGGGACAGAAGGTTGGGGAGAAGCTGGGTGAGGGTGTTCTGTCCCTTCCCTCTGCTACAAAGGGTTGGAGTGTTGTGGGTGGGGAGAAAGGAAATTTCTGTCAGAAGCAGTAGGTGATGGGGCTTTCATTCTCTTCACTCTCGACTCCTCTGTATCCACTACACTACACTGCCCCCCCCCACTCCCTTCTCTCTCTATCTCCCACCTCTGGGAACAAAGCAGGCATTTAAATGTTTTGGGGGAGTAGTAAGGGAGCTTGCCTGTGAGAGCATGAACATGGTGAGAGGAGCTTATTAAAGGGGGTTAAATTCTGATGGGGGTTTGACTGCACATAAGCTGTCTCCTTCCGAATTTAGGGGCCCCACTTCCAGACACTCACTTTGCCTTATCTTTCAGACTTCCCCATGAAATTGTGGGAATATTCATAGAATACAACAAATGACCGATAGGCTCAAGACCCCATTCTTTTTATTCCACCCCGAGTAAAACACAATGGTACACTTGACCATCTATGTCCCAGTCAACTGACCTAAAAAACAACCTGCCTATCACCTTGCCCAGCCTGTTATGGGGACAGGATTTCTTAAATCCATCCCGACCCTCAGCCTTCGCCATTAAAATAACATTCCTTTATGCTCACTTTTTCAGGAGTGGATTTTGTTGTTTGTGCCCGGTGCTCATTAGCCTAGATAATCTGGGATCTGGGGAGGAAGTCTGTCCCCTGAGTCTGTGGCCACTGGTCCTATGCTATGTTCCACTAACCCCCCCCTTTCCTTCTGTCCAGTGCTCCTCACGTTTGTGAATGGCTCCAGCGTCCGGTGGGCCACACGGATCCAAGACATCTTCACAGGAGGGAAGTTGCTGGCACTTGCCCTCATCATCACCGTGGGCTTCATCCAGATCTTCTGGGGTACTGACAGAGGAGTGGGTGGGCTGGTGAGGGCAGGTCTGGCTCCTGGGCCCCAAAGGAGGCTGCTTTGCCAGAATGGGTCCTTGGGGTTGGAGACCTCCATCAGCCTATTTCCCCCAATACTCCATCTGGCCTCCACAGGCAACTATGAGGAGCTGAGGCCCAGCAACGCATTTAGCTTCTGGATGACACCCACCGTGGGGCACCTGGCGCTTGCTTTCCTGCAGGCATCCTTTGCATTCAGCGGCTGGAATTTCCTCAACTATGTTACAGAAGAACTGGTTGATCCCCGCAAGTGAGTGAGCATCAGTGAGACTCTGGGGGCTGATGAGGTCTAAGACTCTGGGAGACGAGGGCCCATTCTCCCTGCAGCCTTGATGGAGGAATGATGCAAAATGTGAAATGTTTCCCAGGAAGGGGGAATGGGACGGGGAGACAAGTCCTGGCAAAAGAAGCCAAAGAGTGGCCCAATTGGATGAGGGTAGGTTTTCAAGAACTACTTTTCCAAGGGCAACAGAAGGCTATATTTTTGAGGCCTCTACCTCAACTAGCAAAGAGAAGTCTTTGGTCAAGAGTCTTGGAGTCAAGAGACCAGAGTCTGAATCTCAAAGTCAGCACTTACTAGCTGCGTGACCATGGACAATCACACTTGTGATTTAACTCTTATAAAGCCTCAGTTTCTTCACTTGAAAAATGGGGATAATAGGGCAGCTAGGTGGTGCAGTGGATAGAGCTGACCTTGGAGTCAGGAGGACGTGAGTTCAAATCCAGTCTCAGACACATGACAGTTACTAGCTGTGTGACCCTGGGCAAGTCACTTAACCCCAACTGCCTCACCAGAAAGCAAAAAAAAAAAAAAGATTTCTATAGAATTATTCACCGTAAAGAGCTATTGTGAGGATCAAATGAGGAAATATACAAGGTGTCCCAAAAGTCTTAGTGCAGCTTCAAGCTATAAAAGCTACCTTAAGGGGCAGCTAGGTGGTGCAGTGGATAGAGCACTGGCCCTAAAGTCAGGAGGACCTGAGTTCAAATCCAACCTCAGACAAACGCTTGACACTTACTAGCTGTGTGACCCTGGGCAAGTCACTTCACCCCAATTACCTTAAAAAAAAATCAGGTTCTATAAAAGCTGCTTTAAAAAGCTTGGAGCTGCACTAAGACTTCTGTGACAAACTGTATATAAATTATGTCAACTATTATTATCATTCTCTTTCTTTGAGTAGGAAAAGAAGCCTGAAATAAACATCCTCTCTGTGTATAGAGAGCCTCGCAGGGCAAAAAAGAGCCCTGCTCTCAGAGAGTTTTTCACCTGAGGTGGACAAGAGGCAAGAATGGTTTTTCTAAAGAACAGATGAATGGAGCCCGCTTCTCTCAGAGGGAATGAGCACCCCTTAGAGACCAGACTGAATGATCTGTGGCCTTTGGGTAGATGTACCAGAACCTCTGGAATGCTAGTAAGAAGAATCTGTGCTTAGGAGTTGGAAAAGCCTGTATTCTTGTCTCTTACCTCTAGAATAAATGACTAGTACTAACTGCATTGCTGAGTGGTTTGGGGAAAGTCATTTAACTCTTAGGCTCAATTTCCTCATCTGTAAAATGGAGATAATATGAGGACCAGATGGATGTTTAACCTGGAGCAGAAATGACTTGGAGGGCAGATGAGAACTACCTTCACCTAGTTAAAGGGCTATCAAGTAGAAGAATGATCCTATTTTTTCTGTCCAGCCCCAGGGAGGCGGAACTAGAATTAATGAATGGAAGTCAGAGAGAGGTTCATTTTAGCATGGTATAAAAAAGAAAAGAAAGAAGTTGTCCGACAGTGAAATAACTTGTCTTATGAAGTAGCAATTTTCCCTGTATTTACAAAAAATTAATGTTCAGAGCCTGGATTCTGGCACTGAGCAGGAGTTGGGACTAGACAACCTCAAAGGTCCCTCCCAGTTCTGGAATTCTCTGATTATGTGAATCTCTGCCCTGACTGTCTCACAGGGTTTAGAATCAAAGAACATTAGAGTGGGACAGGACCTTACAAACCATCTCATCCAACCCTTTACTCTTCAGATGTTGGAACTAAGGCCAAGAGAGGTTAAATATTTGCTTGGGATCACACAGCGAGTTAGGGGCAGAGCCAAAGTTATTGGGAAGCTCAAACCAGATCACAGTTTAAGATGCCTTGGAAAGTATAAAGCCCCATGCAGCTGTGAGACCGCAGAGTAACCTTCCCAGCCCCACGTGGCTCCAGATATGGAGAATTCTGATTCTTTGTTAATCAGCTGAGGCAAGAGGAGACTTGATGTTGGCTCTTACTGTATGTAAAGTGGGGAGAAGCCAGTTGCAAAAATAAACAAACAAACCAAAAACCCAGACAGTTGCATTGTCACCCCAAAAGGAAATGAAGGTAGAACCTGATATTAACTAGCCAGAAAAGAGGAAGATGGGGCCAGAACCAATCTCTCTTACTCAGCAGCCATCCAGAGTCCTGAACCTCTCAGTACTAGAGTGTTTACCCATAGGCTACCAGGCAGAGGACCAGCTTTCCATTATCTGGCGTCAGAAAGTCCAGAATATGAATTATTCAGGCCTCCAGGCCTCTACTACTCCAGGGGAGGGAAGGAAAAACAAACCAGGTCTGTTGCTCCTTGTAAGCCATCTCATCCTTATAGATGTCCATGGTGTGGCTCAGAACTCACTGTTTGCAAGACGAGAGTTGAGTGATTTTCCTGGATTACAATGCCACCAGTTTCCCAGAGGCCATCTGGTGCAACTCATGCCTGACTAGGAATCCCTTCTAAATATATCCAATAAGTGACCATCTAGCTAGCTTTGGCTTTAAGGTCTCAAGTGAGAAAGAATCCTCTGCCTTCAAAAGCAGCCTATTTCCACTTCCCAATAGCTGTGATCATTAGGAGGCTTTTCCTTACTTCTAGCCTAAATAACTACAATAATAATATGTAGCATTTCTATAGCACTTTAAAGTTTGCACAATTCTGTTCATTTATTACCTTATTTAATCCCTACAACTCTCCTGGGATTTAGGTGCTATTATTTTGCAGATGAGGAAACTGAGGCAAACAGGTTAAATGACTTTTCCAGGGTCCCATATCGAGTGAATATATGAGGCAGGTTTTTAATTCAGGTCTTCCTGACTCTGGTGCTCCAGACAGTACACCACTTACTGCTTAAATTTATACCCATTGTTCTTAGCTGTGACCTCTATCCTTCTTGTTTTCTTCTACCCATTCTCCTCCCCAGCATTCGTATGTTGTAAGGGACCACAGATAATCCAAAGCAGCCTGGATGGCATGCCAGTAGCCAGGAGGCAGCACCTCAGCTGTCCCCACAGCTGTGCCTTTCCCCTCCATGGCTCTGTTCTTTCCCTTTTCCAAGTACCAATACTGATGCATCCCTGTTGTTCTCTCAACAGGAACCTACCTCGAGCCATCTTCATCTCCATCCCCCTGGTGACATTCGTGTACACATTCACCAATGTGGCATACTTCACAGCTATGTCCCCACAGGAGCTCTTGTCTTCCAATGCTGTTGCTGTGGTAAGTACCACGGCCTACCCTAACTCAAGGCCCGCTGTGCTGCTCCCCCCTTACCCCAGCATCCCAGCCAGGCTCGCCTTCTCACTCCCTCTGTCTTCCATTGCTGTAGACATTTGGAGAAGAAGCTACTGGGCTACTTCTCTTGGATCATGCCTGTCTCCGTCGCCCTCTCCACCTTTGGAGGGATCAATGGATATCTTTTCACCTCCTCCAGGTGAGCAACCTAGATCTATCAAGAAAGGGTCATGGCCAGGGGGACTGAGCAGGGCAAAATACCTCCAAGGGAGGTGAAAGAGAGTTGGGATGAGTCCTTTAACATTAATATTGAACCTCCCAGGGACAATTCCCAATTCCACTCAAAACAAAGCAAGAGGGAATCAGGGTAGAGAAAAGGAAGAATTTCATGGCCACTTGGGCTATTCAACCCTAGCTAAGGGGCAGGTCAGAAGACATAGGAGAAGAGTTTCCCTCAGTGATACAGAAAAAAGTGGGAGATTGGGGGTGTTGAAGGGATCACCTAGCCACTGGTCACAAGCTAACTAAGCCAGTGTCTTAGACACCTGATCAATAAGGCACCAGAAAGGGATGAGAAACCTAGGGCTCAGTTCTATGTTCTGTACTACTGCCATCCATACTGTCTGATGTATCCAATGTAGAGCTTATCTAGGCCCCAGATTGGTATTTCTTCTTTTCAGATTATGCTTTTCTGGAGCCCGTGAAGGTCACCTTCCCAGCCTGCTGGCCATGATTCATGTCCAACACCGAACCCCCATCCCTGCGCTTCTCGTCTGTGTAAGTCTAGCTGTCCCTGATTGTACCTGAACACCTGTTAAGGGAGAGTCTAGGGCTCAACTGGGCCTTGCTGACTTCCTATGTACCCTTAACCACAAAGCCAGGGCCAGTAGAACTTCATGACAATGAAAATCAACTCACTTGAATCATCTGAATAATTAGCCTCAGCTTACTTTGCTAGTAGACATCTGGCTACGACACATAGATTGGCTGAAGTAGAAAATCTGTCCACACAGTCATTGTGAGAGGGTCACTTTTCAGCTTCTTTTTTTTTTTTGTAGGACTCTAAGGTAGTTCTTTGCGTTGGTGCCAACCTTTCAGAGGCAAGAGAAAATAGGTCCCCATGGACTCCCCTCATCCTACACTGATCACCTAACAATCTCACCAATCCAAGTGGCCTCCATCCCAAAGCTGAGTTGGGATGACTGTCTGGAACTGATACTTAAAGCCATCTGTGAGAACACACACACACACACACACAGCCTCCTAAGCCTAGTTTGGGCTCATCACATGAGATCAGGCATCAGTGGAAGAGGTAATGTCCCTGACCAAGGGGCAACTATAGCAGTTTGTGATGGGGTGCTGTAGTCTGGAGGTTCCTGTAAGGGCAGCTATGATAAAAAGGACTTTCCTTTAAAACACACATGCAAAGTAAAGGTTGCAGGAATAAGAGAGTTAAATCAGACTTCAGAAATAAGCACAAACAAAAAGCTACACTCACTCAGCTTCCCATAAAGCACTGCATGCAGGACTGAGTAAACGAATGACTTTTCTACATCCTGGACTCATTCTCACTCTGATCAGATGAGGGACTGAGATAGGAAGATTCCCAGACAACTTTCCCGAAGTGCTACAGAGCCAGACCCAATGGGTACATGTAACCTCTACTCTACTTCCTCCCCCCTCTTCCACCTGCATCCTGGCGTTGATCATCTCTTGCACCCTTTTATGCTTCTCTGAACACTTTCCACTATTCCTTTGTGATCCCCAAAGCAACCCCTGGCTATGAGCCAGGCAAGGAAAGGGTTCTCATTCGCATTGTGAGAAGGGCCATCACTTGCTCCCCTTCTCTCTCAACTAGGACACAGACATCCAACCACACCCTTGCTCACTCACCCTGAAAGGAATTATGAGAAATTATGAAGTCTGTCAGCTCCCACCCTGCCTTCCTTTTATCTTCTTCCTCCTTTCACTAGGGTCAACTTTCTCTCATCCCCCAAAGTCCCTGGGCCTTACCTAGTCCTCCCTCCAACACAGAGCCCTCACCTGCCCCAGGATCTTCCTCTAAGATCCCCCACCCTCAAGATTTGCATCTTTCTCAAACATCTTTATCCCATCTTTACACTGGCCAGGAGAATCCCAGCAAGAGCTCAATTTTATGATAAAATTACCAAGCTGCATTAACCCTCTTTTTCCCTCGGCCCAGTTTAGCAAGGACTGGACCTGAGGCTTAAGTAGCAGCAATGAAAGCACCACCGAGTCCTAAATGGTTCCATGAGGTATAAGGGTACTGAAGACAGCCGGAGCTCTTCATCTCTAGGCATATTCAGATACACTAACAGTTAATTCCCCTTCATTTCCAGTTCGGGGCCACAGCAGTGATCATGCTTGTGGGAGACACATATACATTGATTAATTACGTGTCCTTCATCAACTACCTCTGTTATGGAGTGACCATCATTGGCTTGATTGTGCTGCGATGGAAGAGACCCAAGCTCTTCAGACCCATCAAGGTGAGCATCATTCATCCTCATCCACAGTCCCTCTCAGCAGCAATAATAACTAGCATTTGTAGAGTGCCTGAAGGTTTGCAAACATACTGCGCGTTATCTCATTTGGCAGCTAGGTGGCGCATAGAATAGAGAGTTGGAAATGGAATCAGAAAGACCTGAATTCAAATACGAACAAGTCACTTAATCTTTCATTGCTTCCGCTTCCTCATCTGTAAGATGGGGATGACAATAATAGCAAGGTTGTTGTGAGGATAAAATAAGATAATATTTATATGGCGCTTTGCAAGCAAAGCTCTATATCAATATTAGCTATTATTGTTACTATTATCATTATTATTATTAGATTCTCACAATAACTTTGTTAGGTAGGTGCTCTTTTCATCCCTATTTTACAGATGAGGAAACTGAGACTAAAAGAAGCTTGGTGATTTGTCCAGGGTCACAGAGCTAATAAGTGCCTGGGGCGTTAATTGAATTTGAGTCTTTCTTATTCTGACTCTCTCTTTATCCATCGCGCCACCTAGCGGCCTCATCATCAGCCAGGGCCGAGCAGGGCGCACAGCAGAATAATGCAGTATTCTGCCTAAGGAACATCACTAGAATTTGTGCACCCAAAGAAATATTTCCCTTCCCAAGAGTCCCGTTGGGGACCATTTACTCCAGCAACATTGCTACTGCTCTCCACGTTTCTGGAAACCACTTTCAGAACCAGTTTGGGGACAAACACACACAAAAAAAACCTCATTACATCAAAGCTGTCTCTTATTTTTCACCTATGTGTGACCTTGCTCAATGACCCAACTAAAATAATAACAGCTAACACGTCTACAGCGCTTGCCATGTGCCAGTCGCTGTGCTAAGTGCTTTGCAATCATTATCTCATTTGGTCCTCACAACAGCCGGGGGAGGTAGGTGTTAGTATGATCGTCATCCCCATTTTACAGATGAGGAAACCGAGGCAAACAGAGGTGAAGTGACTTGGCCAGCTAGGATGTGTCTGAGGTCAGATTTGATCTCTGGTCTTTCTGACTGCAGGCCCCATGCTGTATCCACTGTGTCACCCAGCTGCCACAGACTTGCATCTGAATGCCACCAAGTTATCTTCTCATCATCCTCCCAAGACTCCTAGGCATTCCACGTCTTTCAGTGTGCCCCGCAGCTGAAGTTTCATATATACATTGTCCTCATAACTACAGCATGAGCTCCTTGAAAGTGGACTCTGTCTTGACTTTTCTCTTTGTATTCCCAATATTTAGTAACAGAGGTTGGCAGAGCCCTTAAGAAATGCTTTTTCACTGATTCACTCCAAAAATCAAGCCTCTTCCCTAGTCATTGTTGGGAAAGGGAAGATGAAAGCAGGAAGGACAAGGGATCGTAGAAGGTTGTTGGGCGAGAATGGGGTTGTCCCCGGCTCGTTTCTGTCTGCGGTGTCTGGTCCATAGTGGGCATTTAATAAATGCTCCTTGACTGGGCCTCCAACTACTGGGAGAATCTGGCCCCCTGGGCCCCTGTTGCTCTCTCTCTTTCTCTTTCTCCAGGTAAATCTTCTCATCCCAATCACATACTTGACCTTTTGGGCATTTCTGCTGATCTTCAGCTTTTACTCAGAGCCTGTAATCTGTGGCATTGGCCTCATCATCATTCTCACAGGCGTCCCTGTGTTCTTCCTGGGCGTGTCCTGGAGAAACAAACCAAAGTGTGTGCACAGGCTCATTGGTGAGTGACGGGAGGGGGTGAGTGGTGGCTGGCAGCAGGGTTAAGATCACAGGGGCTTATAGCGAGAGCTGGAGGGGAGCTCAGAGGTCCTCTGCTCCAACTTCCTCATTTTACAAATGAGGAAACTGAGGCCCAGGGAGGTTAAGTGACTTGCCCAATGTCACACAGGTAGTAAGCTGTCAGAAGCAACATCTGAACCCAGGTCCTCTGACTCCACAACTGGCCCTCTTTCCACTGTACCACACTACTAAGCTATTTACTGGCCTTCAGGGGAAGGGAACAGAGTTTTGACTGGCCAGGAAAAGCCAAAGCACCTAATTAAAGGCTAAGTGAAACTCCACAGGAGAGAAGAGGTCCCCCAGCCCTGGAAAGTTTACCTTCAAAGTACACTTCTGGGCCCCTAAGCTCTGGGCTACTCATCAGGCTGACTAGAGGACTGTTTCAACATCATGACCTTCCAATCACATTCCCTTTCCCCAGTCACCCAAGAAAGAAGAGAGAAAGAGAGAGAGGGACAGGAAGGAAGGAAAGAAGAAAGGGAAGAAAGAAGAAGGAGAAAAGAAGGAAGGGAGGAAGAAAGGAAGGAAAGAAGAAAGGGAGGAAGGAAATTAGGAAGGGAGGAAGGAAAGGAAATAGGGAGGGAGTAAAAAAGGGAGGAAGGAATAAAGGAAGGAAGGGAAGTAGGGAGGGAGGAAATAAGGAAGGAAGAAAGGGAAGGAGGGAAGGAGGAAAGAAGAGGGAGGGAGGAAGAAAAGAAGGAAGGGAAGTAGAGAGGGAGGAAACAAGAGAGGAAGGCAGGCAGGACCTGAATAGCTGCTAGTATAACTAGGTAATGCTGTACTGTAAGGCAGCAGGAAAAGCTCTGAGTCAGGAGTCAGGAGAACTGGATTCCAGTTCTGGCCCTGCCACTAACTTCCTGTGTGACTTTCAGCAAGTCCCTTCCCTTCTCTGGGCCTTCTTCACCACATGTAAAGTGAGGGGGTTGAATGAGATGCCCTTTAAGGTCCCTCCCAGCTCTTGACAGTCTGTGAATCTGTGACCTCAGAGACCAGCAGGTATGGGGATGGGGCTTGTTTTCCAAGGGACAGATTTAAGAAGAAGTAGCTTTGGGGTTGTGTGATTGAGGGGTAGCTAGAACTGGACAGGTTTCTTCTGGGAATCCTGGCTGGATTACTTTTCAGTTACTTGCAAATCATAAAGTGACTTGCATAGCAGAGTGGCCGGTCACAGCCCTTGACTAAATGGCTTCTGTCTGCCCTTAGAGTCCTTTACGTGGTGGGGCCAGAAGTTGTGCTTCGTGGTATACCCGCAAAGTGATGCCCCTGAAGAGGAAAACGGTCCCTGCCCTCACCCCACCCCCTCGGGAAGTGAAAAGGCTTTGAAGACACAATGAGATGCTTATCAAGACTTAAGTAGATTTTTTTTTTGTTTACATGTTATGTTTTTGTTTTTGAAAAAGTTTTCTTGAGGAAAAAAAGATATGTTTCTTAGACACTTTTAATAGCAAAGCCCCACAAACAACAGCCCCCACCCCAGATCAGTCCACCTTAACTATACAGACAGCAGGAAGTCTACAAATAAAACAAGGATCCGATGGGTTAATTCTGACACGGTTCAGTCCATCAGTAAGGTTGATTTGGAAGCAAAATGCATAAAGGCCAGTGGGCTAGCTCAAGTCCTGATGGGCCAGCCAAACTGGGAACGTGGGCCCATCCTCACACTTCTGCCTGAGAGCTTCACATCTCAGAGAGGAGGAGAGCAGAAATAGAACCAACATGATCACATGTGCTGGATTTGTAATTCCATATAATGTAGTCAGTGCTCATGGCTCATGGTCCATGCCCCTGATGGCAATAGCTGAGGGCATGTGGTCAATAAGCAAGTTTGAGGGAGGCTACCTTTAGGCAAAGAAATGAGTATTTCAGTAGCTTAATCTTGAGAATGGAGGAATCCCCAGTCATTCATACCTGAGAGGATCCTGTAATCTGAATATGGGGACCCCATTCCTTTCTCATACACCTTTTCAAGAAAAATGGAATATCACTCACTTTTGACCTTTGGTCACACTTGCTTGGTACAAGAAACAATTGATGCCAGGAAAAGACAGCAGAGCGAAGAAAATAGAGACAACAAGGATCTTAACAGATAGGGATGGAGGGAGGATTGAGATGATTCTCCAGCATTTGTCATTTGCCATGGGTGGGGCTGGGATTAACAGAAATGGTAATGGCATCAACTTGAAAAGAGTGGAGGGGGGCACTGCCCCATCCTCCTGTCATTGACAATGGTTCTTCTATAAAGATGTGACCAAGAAAGACAGCTGGAACTGAGTTTTGTGCACTGAAAGGTATGGATCAGGACCAGATGGAAGTGGTAGGCCCAAATATCGGGCCAAGTGGAACCAAGGCTTGGGATCAGTGCCATAGCTGTTCATCTGGATGACAGCTGATCCCAGGGGCTCCCTCCCCTCTGTGCTCTGGCTTGGCAGCAGGGATCCAGAACTATGTAGTATGCACCAGAATTTCGGGGTGCCTTCTTATCACTCTGATGAAAGTCATTTCTGCCACACAAGAGCTAGTCACAGGGGTTTTCCTTCCCCTTGTCATGGCTCTGTAGGCAGAAGGGCAGTTTCAGTAGTCAACCATCACCCCCTGTATCCAGACCCAAGGACATGTGCAAATATTGCCCTGCCCCTGAATGTTGATGGGTCTCCCTTGAACTTGGCTTTATCCCATTGTGTGAGCACTCTAAAAGAGGGAAAAGATGGTAAGGTCTAGGGCTTCTGGGACCCTGCCAACCTTGGGGAAGGGCACAGAATTGGCAGGAACCATGGAGCTTTTCTGAATTTCTGTCCCCACTCCCAGGCTTTCCTTCCCAATAATACTTGAAGACCTATTTCCTGAGCCTTCACTGACCATGTGTACACAAGTTGGGTGTGCTGGAGAACAGACAGGAAGGCTTGCTCAGCAGTTGCCTTATCAACTTAAGAGGACTTGCCTATGGCAAATGAAAACTTCAGACTTTGAAATCCTGACAGGAGGGAAGAAAGTAGAAAGGAATGGGATTAACTGTAAAACAGCAAACTGGCTTCAGCAAGAACATGACATTGCTTATGTAATCACAGGTACAATGTTGTCTGAGGCCTGACAACACAGACAAGAAAGCTCAGAAAACCATCTCCATAGCTATGACAGAGACAAAAACACAGAAGCAAAGAATGGGCTGGCCACATGAAACAAAGATACCTCCTCCTGAACTCCCTATTCCCCTCTCGGCCCCACAGATCCTTTCACTCACTGTGTCCAATAGCACCTGATACCAGAGAAGTTTCTGGGAATTTCTGTACCACAAAACGTGTCCAGGGGAAGTAGAGAAAGAAAAGAAGTCACCTCAGTGTGGTTCCTCTAAATTTGGTGCCCTGCATCAAAGCCCTGGTCATTCCAGTCTAGTTAGATAGAGAAGCCCTCCGTGAGACCAATCTCAGCCTTGAGCCAGTCTTGCTTCTCTGCCTGCAAATTTAAAGACTATGGTAGAGCACCCTGATATTTAACCTTTCCTCCTCAAACTGCCCCTACCACTCCCCAAAGGAACTGGTCTTACTCCATCTTCTGAAGGGATACAGGCCCAAGCTCGTACCTTATACAGGTAACCTCACTCAGGCCATCCCAGCCATAGTTTCTTTGGGGAATACTCCAAACCAGGGTCAGACTGTCCTGGAACTGGACCCTTTGTCCCTCGCTTGGTATAACTTTCTTCTCTGGACACCTCAAATGTTGAATGGGGTTTTCAGAAAGAGCTGGCAGGGATACCCAGCATCCATCATCGTGCCCACACTGGGAAAGGCCACTCAGGCACCTGAGCACCTGATCCAGCACTAAGCTCTCCCCACTGACTCTCATCCTAGCAGGGAAAGCCCTGTGTGACCCTTTCACCACACCCAGGCTTCTAATGAGTAATCCTTGACAAAAAAGAAAGCAAGAAAACCATAACAAGGGTAAAAATCATCTTGTATTCCCTGATTGTAAAACATGGACAAGGGGGATTGGGAGAGGTGGTGAAGGGCAGGAGAATTCTCCCAGACTGGGTGGTGACAGCTGATATGCCCACCAGGGGCCCCATCCACCCATGTTTAGTCCAATCACCTCTCCCCGGAAACAGTCACTGCAAGTAGCATGAGGTCAACCTGTCAGACTTTGAGACAATTCCTGCCATTGCACTGGAGCAGGGTCCACATCAGCACACCAGGAGGGACTCATCGTCACTGGCATCAGAAAGCAAGGAGTGGGGTGAAGTTGGCCCATGGACACCGAGTGGCTCCTCTTGGCATGTCTGGGGTGGACACAGGGAGCTGCCTGAGGAGACTGGTTCCCGCTTCCTGAGAGGCAGCCGACCTGGTCCCTCGCTCAGCGGGGGAGGACTGGTGCCATGGGGATCACCCTGGGTTTGGAGCCTCTCAACAATGCTTTCTGACAAGGGGTCCCTGAAGGCCTTTCTTGGCTCAGCCTGGCCAGCGGCTCTGAGCTCCTTGTTCAAGTGCCTGGGCTCTAGGCCATGTGCCGCACGAGTAGGAGCTGCAGTGCCTGGGGCGGGGGACCCCACAGGTTCTGTTTCAGTTACCAGGGCACAGGTGGAAGTATCTGGTGGCCCCTCCCTCACAACCTGACCTACAGTCTCTGGAGGGACGGGGGGAGGCCCCGTAGAGGATGCAGGGGGGCTTGAGGAGGTGCCCCCGGCCCGGCGAATGATCCCATCCCCCAGCACAGTCTGTGAGGCACGTGATGGAGTCAGCAGCGGGATCTGCCCTCGTGCCCGAGGTCGGTGGAACAGTCTGTTCCAGATGCGACCCAGGCGGCGGCGGGAGGCGCTCCGGCGAGAAGTGTGGCGCCGCATCTGGCGTCTCATGGCTGTCCTGATGTTCTGCAGTACCGATGCCTGTAACGCAAGCCCAACACCATTATCGAGGAACGAGCCCTCTCCGTGCCTTCCTCCCTCCACCTTGGCATCCACGGCTGCTTCTCTCTGTACACTCTGGTATTAGGCTACATCCCCAACTTCCTCAAAGATCTGAGAACTTCAGGGTGGCCCCAAAGACATCACCAGGTAGTCCACGCCTCTGCCATCTCTGTTGAGTCTAGCCAGCATTTTACTCTGAGACCCAAAGCCAGCTTGACTCCACAATGTCACAGATAGGGTGCAGGGCTTGGGAATGGACTAAATGTCTTCCCATTTTTGCTCTGGGCCAACGGGCTAAAGACACACTTGCCCCCTCCAATCATTTTCTAGCACCCAATGGTATTTTGAATTAGTGCTACTACCATCCCTAATAGGGCCATAAAGCCTGTGTTTATTTTTTTTAATTAAATTAGTCTGAAATTAACTGTCTTTGGAAAATTCTATAACACCTACACACACACACACACACACACACACACACACACAACCATAACCATTATCAGCACTGGCCCCTATGGATCAGGTAAGTGAATCCAAAAGTAAGACCCAGACATCCACTTTACCTGGGATGCATTATAGACAGGAAAGTCCTCCACAGGTGGGATGAGGCCCTGGGCAATGAGTTGGCCATAGGATGGAGGGGCCTCTCGCCGAACAAATTCAGCCTCTAGACGAGTCATTTGGGTCTCAAACGCCCTAGGATTAACAGAATCTTTGTCATAGGCATCTTTTCTTCTATGTCCCAGATATATGAGCAGGGCCTACCCCTTGGGCCATGTGGGATATGGGACCCTCTCCATCCCCTAGGACCATCCCAGATATTCATTTCACAGTTCCCAGCCTAAACTTTCAAAAGGGAATAGGAAGGCCACAAGAAGATCACTGCAGAAAATACCTGGGCAATGAACTCTGTCCTATCTCTGGGCTCCAGTCTCATTTAGACCTACGTGGCACCCATCAGCCTTAGTGTTTAGTCAGTGGTTTGGTTCAGCCGTGTAGTACGCTGACACCACTCCTCCCCTCCTTCCTATTACATACACACATCTTTCTTCCTACAGGACCTTCCAGAAGTAACACCAAATACAGACTAATCAGAGACTGCCTCAAAATCTCCAAATGACTATGGGAAGAGATGCTAGTAATGCAAACCTATCAAGAAGGAGGGAAAACCAATATGTGAAGAGATCAAATAGGGTTTCCCAATGAGATCTGGCATATGAAGGGATAGGGAGGAAGGACGGAAAAACCCAGAACCAAACTTGGGAGTTCTCTAGGTGACATCCCACCAATCGGATCACAACACCTGCTGGTCAGTCAAAAGGCCAGCTTTGGCAGTAGCTTGCTTTCTTCCCCTCTTCCAGACTCCAATTTCCTCACTCATAAAATGCTGACAATCATCCCTGCTTAGCTGTGATGTACACAGGCAGAGGTGAATAGGATGCAGATGTGATCGTACTTCATGGAGTTGAAAGCCAGAAGAAACCAAAGATAATTCAGTAGCAATCAGATGACAGCAGAGCTTCTTAATTTATTTTATTTTATTTTTTTGCATCAGGGACCCCTTTGGTGGTCTGATGGACTGCCTTCTTAGCATATGGACCCCTTCTTAGAATAATGGTTTTTTTTTATTGAATGAAACGCTGAATATCAGTTAGTGAAAATGAAGATGTAATTGTGTTCCCATTCAAATGCATGTACTCCCTGAAACCTACCGATTGCTCCTCGGTAACATGGGAACTCCAGGTTCAGAATCCCTGACCTAGAGCCTTGCCCTCTGAAGGAAACTTCCAGTGGAAGGGCAAGGGGCCGGGCCTCCCTCCAGGTGCTCACCTGTACTCCTGTGTGCGCAGAGAGTAGAGCTTAAAGGCGCAGCCAAGGGCAATGACTAGAAGGAGCCCACAGACCAGGCTGCCAATGAGGGCAGCGGTGATGACCTTTCGGGGCACTGCTGCCAAGCAGTCCCGCTCATCACTGCCATCTTGGCAATCTTCCTGGCCATCGCAGCGCCACGTCTCAAAGACACACAGATTGGTGCCACAGTGGAAGGTCCCTGGCTGGCAGGAAAAGCAATTCTTCTCATCAGAGCCATCAGGACAATTCTTCTGGTTGTTGCAGCGGTCAGGAGGTGCATAGCACAGCCCACTGCCCCCTTCACATGGGTACTCATCCTGTTGGCAGGCCGGACAGCCCTCCTCATCCTTCCCTCCCGGGCAGTGCCACCAGCCATCACAACGCTGCATCTCGGAGAAGCAGCCCTCATCACTGCCGCAGGGCTGCTCCCAAGGCAAGCAGTAGCCTTTGACCTGGTAGGTGGCATTGAAGCCATGGCCAACGCTATGGGCTCTAGCATGGTAAGTCACCGTCAGCTGGCCCTCAGAGGCCTCAACACTGACCAGGCGGTGGTTGCTGCGGTAAGAGAGGGTCTGCAGCAGGCGGTCCGCACGCTCCCCCAGGCCATCATAGACCTGCACATAGTCATCATAGCCCAGCTGCAGTTCCAGCTGCAAGAGGACACGCCGGGCATCCTGTGTGTCCACGAGCCATGTGCACTGGAGATCATCAGAGCCACGGTCAGCCCCAAAGAGGTCAGGTGAGGCAAATGACCCATAGAAGTTGCCCAGTCGCCTACCACATGAAAGGTCAGGGCAGTAGGCTTCATCTGAATTGTCACCACAGTCCTGAGTACCATCACAGCGCCGCTCAGTGGGCAGGCACCGGGTGGAACGGGCACCGCTGCAAGGGAATGTGCCAGGTGGGCACAGGCTAGGTGGGATCTCTGTGGGTGAATTTGAGCAATTCTTTTCATCTGACCCATCCCCACATTCATCCATGGCATTGCAGTGCCAAGGGCCTGGTAGGCATTTGCCATTGCCACAGAGAAATTCATCTGGTTGGCAAGCTGCCTGGCCCAGCTTTCCTAGAGGAAGGAAGGAGGGAAACATCAGTTGGGGTTCTGCCACTTACTAGCTATGTTTACTTTGGATACGTCATTTTGCTTCTCAGAAACTCATTTTCCTCATCTGTAAAATGAAGACAAAAATCATACTACCTACCTCACTGAACTGTTCTGAGGATTAGCTGAAGCAGTGGGTATCAGATTAATTGAAACACCACCATGTGAACTGGTGATATTGCTAGAGGGACTTTCTCTTGAGGGACTGTTATTAAAGAGATTTTGGGGTGTTGGGGACCTGTCCCTAACCTGGGAAGACCTGAGAAAAGGCAAACACAGTTTTCCCATCAGAGACAGTATTTTAGGATGGGCATGGTGGGGAAGGTGAGGAACTGTAAAGCTGAGCTTGATGGGGGCCAAGTGAGAATGGTTAGGATTGGGAAGGGGATACCTCAACCAATTCTTTTTTCCCACCCATCTCTAGTCATGGACAAAATACCCTGAACACGCCATGCTCTTCTCTTTGGGGAAGCCCATCGCTACCTCTGATGTAGGACAGGCGAAAGCCCTGGGCCTGGCCTGAGCTGGAAGCATCTGAGTGAAAAAAGATCCAAACGTGGTCTCGGGCTGAGATGAAGGCAGGGGGGATGGCCGAACCACAAATTCGGTAATCTTCCCGGCGAGATGATGGTCCCAGCATGAGCCAATCCGTAGTGCATTGATGGGACTCTTCTACATCAAAGTTTCTGAAACTAGAGAAGGGGAGTAGAGAGAGAGGTGAAGAAGGCCTGGCAAACCACAGGCAGGGACCATGGGGTCAAATATGGGGACTCATATCATGGGAAAGGAGAGTGGGACATTGGGTCAGAGATAAGGACTTGAACTTTGAGGGTTGAGAGAAGTCAACGTCTGAGCTGAAACGTACAGCCTAGAACTCAGATTTCCTTTTTACCTCTCCACCACGAGTCCCAACTTGAAATCTATGCCCAAGGTCCCCCACCCACCAATAAAGAATCTAGTGCCCCCAAATTAAAGTAACCTAGA